GAGTTGTAATTTTTTAAACTTGTAAAAGGTATTTTGGTCTTTATGATTTTTTGAGTTTATTCCTCAAATTATGGAATAGCTAATACCATAGGGGAGGATGGTATTAACTATTCCTTAGTTTTGGAGGATTTTGAAGAATAGCCATTTCTATGGAAGGGCTATTCTTTGGATTATATCTCAATCAAATAAAGGAATCAAAATTCCTTGAGAATTAAGCCATTCTCCCAACCAAACATGCTAAGTGCTTGACAAATACCGCCAAAGACTAATGCTGCAATTTCTTTTTTTTTTTCTTTAAAAAGGACAATTCAATTTTAGACGACGTTCTCTCCACTTCATTGGAGGAATGCCACGTCACCTTTTCACAAGACTATAGGTTGAAATTCAATCTGAAATCACTAGCATATCTCTACCACCAGATGGGGTTAAAGGAATAAGCGGTCCACATAAATTAATAGAGAGTTGCTCTAATAATTAAAAATCAATTACATTAATGTGACGTCAATACTCAAGTTCAGGTGTGGTGTGCATGATACCGTAACCATCCAAAGTAACCGACGAGCTCAGCCTTTAAAAACCAAGGCTCAAATTTTGCTCTTCATTCATACCGAAGGAAAAGAGAATTTTGAGTTCTTGCAAAAAGGGGAAAACACTAGATTAATACGGCGAAGAAGATGGACGCCAGTTTGGAAGCAACTTCTTTTGGTATTCCAGAGTACATTTTGAGCTCAAGTGGGCAGAGAATGCCGCTTTTGGGCTTTGGCACCGCAGCCTACCCACCTGTAGCCCCAGAAGTTACAAAGCGGGCAATTCTCCAAGCAATTGAGCTTGGTTATAGGCACTTTGATACGGCTTCTTTATACGGAACAGAGCAACCCCTTGGAGAAGCAATCATCGAAGCAATTTCGCTTGGCTTGATTAAATCTCGAGACGAACTCTTCATCGCTTCCAAGCTGTGGTGCAGCGATGCTCATGGAGAACTTGTTCTACCTGCCCTTCGGAGGAGCTTGCAGTAAGATACTTTCCTCTCGTATTTCCTCCATCTCGATATATTGTCCACTGACATGGTAAATTCTTTAGTCTAAACTCTACATTCTAAACTGTTTGTCCTGTAGAAATCTCAAGTTAGAGTACCTCGATCTCTATATTATTCACTGGCCTTTGAGCTTAAAACCAGGAATTTACGAATTCTCAATAAAGAAGGAAGACCTCCTCCCCATGGATTTTGGTTCCGTATGGGCAGCCTTGGAAGAGTGCCAGAGGCTCGGCCTTACAAAGTCTATTGGTGTCAGCAATTTTTCCAGCAAAAAGTTAGCAGACATCCTTGCCTTTGCGAAGATCCCCCCAGCAGTTAACCAGGTACAACTCTCCCTTTTCTGTCTGGCATACACCACCTGGCCTTCAATTTGGTCTGAACTTGGGGGTAGGGATAGTGAAGTTGTTACAATTTTTGCAAGGTGGAACTGAACCCACTGTGGAATCAGAAGAAGCTTAGAGAGTTTTCCAATGCAAATGGAATCCTGTTGACAGCTTACTCTCCGCTGGGAGCCACAGGGACCGTTTGGGGAAGCAGCAGAGTTCTGGAGAATCAGGTGCTGAAGGAAATTGCCACGGTAAAAGGGAAGACCATTGCTCAGGTGCTTTTATCCTTAAAATGAAAATTTTAGTACTGCTTTGTTTTTTTATATTTTTCCCTTTCATGTTTCGAGATTTTAGACCAATGAAAGACAAATTAAAGGCTGGTTACTAATCCAAAAACAGATATGTCTGAGATGGGCATATGAACAAGGTGTGAGTATGATAGTGAAGAGCTTCAACGGTGAGAGGATGAAGCAAAACCTCGATATATTCAGTTGGTCATTGAGCGAGGACGAGCTGCAGAGGATCAATGACATCCCACAAAGCAGGGCCAGCAATGGTGAAATTTTTACCTCCGAATATGGACCTTTCAAGACAATTGAGGAGCTTTGGGATGGAGAAATTTGATTTGTAATATTATTTCGGCTGCTACGAAATTTGTTTCTCCAAATATTTCCTTTGCTCTTTGCTGCCAGTATGATGAACACTTATTTCTAGTGCTTCACGGTTCTCTAGCAGAATCAGATAGTAGAAAACATTTAAAATTGTTCAGGGTTTAGAAAGATGAAAAAGCAGGCCTACATATAAAATATGGCTGGCATCTTACTGCTGTATAATAGAATAAGGATTTGATACTTATCATATTTGCCAAAATATTTTTTTACAATAATTATTTAGATTCAAACTCAAAATTAACGCTTATCCTAGAAAAGATTAAAAAAAAAAGGGATTTGATACTTATCATAAAATACATTTTGCTATTCTATTGCTACGCCTTCTGTTTTTTTTTAATAGTATTTGTCAAGAGAGATAATAGAGAGAGAGATCGCAATTTTGCATTGGATAAGGGTGATTTGCAAAAAAGGGAAAAAGATAGGCATATTTCTTAAAAAGATGATGTATTTTTAGAAAAAGAAAGGAGAAAGCTCTTCTCTAGAACTTTTCTTAAGCTCTTTTTTTAAAAAAAATTTAGTTCTTTAAAAAAATTTACTTTTTTAAAGAGCTTTTTAAAAATTCTGTTTGGTCTGACTTTTATTGTTAAAAGATAGATAAGCTAAAAGAAAAAAAGTTAAGCCAAATAGGCACTTACTTATACTTTAATCAAATTTAAAAAAAAATTAATGCTGTCAACATCCAATATTCTTATTTTAGTTCATATTTAAACTTAAAATACTAAACATAAAACTATAATACATAAAATATAAATAGTTAAATAAGATACATAAGATTTTACACAATGGTTCAACATATAAATAGTTTAATAATATTAACAAAAAGAAGAAGACAAAAGAAAACTTTATCTCCTCTTGATTTCACACAATAGTAATAGGTTGTCCTTGTCCTTCCTTATCCAAGCTCACAAGCTCATAAATTTTCTTTTAAGAATGACGTGTGTTTTATTGTTGATTTCTCACACAAGTGCGCGTGTCATTAACAAGTAATAAGTAGAAAGTAGGATTCATTCCTACAAAGAATTCAATTAATTCCCAATTGCTAACTACTAAAACTATAACACCCTAATCTTATGCAAACAACCTAATTATTAGAAAAAAAAATTAAAACTAATAACTAAAACTAATTTAAAATCTATCAACAAAATTATTTCTTAAATTCGAGTGACTACTGGACCTAAGATTATAATGTCCCTTAATATTTCACTTGATTATTGTCTCTCTCTCTCTCTACTTAGTTTAATGGATTAAATTGTTAACCTAGAGTCCTAATTTATTTACAAGTCTCTATCGAGTTTTTTATAAAAATATCTCTCTCAATTAATTTACTATACGTCTATGCATATTAAATTGAAGAAAATTCATTAAGTTCATGCTCTAATTTTAGCTACATATTGCTTATAGATGTATGTCTACCCTATATGCAGATCAAACCACCCAATCAACTAAGTACATTCAATTATAGGATATTCTATTTAAGGTCTATCTAAATTTCCTTCGTCAATGATTAACTTAGGTTTCCGATTCAATCTAATTGGTGGCCAATCAAATAGAAGCATTAAGAACATAATAGAATAAACAACTTAAATTCATCAAACATAAGAATTCATCAAACATAAGCAAAAGAAAGAAATAAATCAGACTACGTATTGAGTTCAATCATAATCTTAGATAAATAACTTAGTTCCCTTTCAAGTCACACATCATCATCAAATTAAGTTTAAACATTAAAATCAAACTAAGAAAATAAAAGAATAACAAAAAGATAATAAAACCCAAGAACTGTAATCTTGATCTTCCAAATCTTCTTAAGTCCTTCAAATTCTTCTCATCTTCAATGACTTTCTAGCTTGATTCTCAACCCTTAATCTTGTATTTCATTCTTTTCTTTAAAAGTCCTCCAAAAGGTTTTTTTATGGGGCTTTGAAGTCAGGCCAAGTGGAATAAAGAATGAAATCAATTCCGACTAAGATTTCCTCATCAAACTACATGAGCCACAGTTTAGCTCCACGAAAGCTACTGCCTTGACCAATTAATTAGCAGAAATCGTAATTGCTCTAGAACTGCTGCAGTGACAAGATTTTTAACCACCTTTCAAGCCAAACTGGATGAAGTGGTAAACATGAAAGTTGTAGCTTTTTTTTCTTAGCTTTCCAATGGTCCAAGAATCATCTCATTTAGAGTTTTGTAGAGAGAGTTATGGTTGAAATACCGAGACGTGTGAAGTGGAAGTCTGCACCTTCAAATTGCTCTTCTTCTTCCATCAAAATTCTTCCTTCACTAAACACATACAAAAGCACAAATAAATCAAGAACAACCTTTCTTAATCACATTAACACCAAATTAAGCATAAAATTAACTAAGATTATATTGACTCACCTAAATTAATTAACTTAAAATAATTTAAATAAAATCTACTAATTTTTATACATTACTGTAAGACCTAAGCTAAATTACTATTAAAAATAAGCCTAAATAACACCATATCATAGAGTTTTTTTTTTCAACACCATATCATAGAGTTATTATGTTTCAGTGGTAAGTTATAGAGAAGAAAGTGAAGTAAAAAGTATGTTTCTGTGGTAAGTTACAAAAAAAAAGGAGTAAAATAAAAATAAAAAGACAAATGAGATGGGAAAAAGAAAAAGAAAGAAAGAGAAAGAGGTGTGGAGAAACTTAAGAATTAAGGTAAAATTGAGTAAGGCTTGTGGGACCATTTTATTATTTTTTATTTATATTAATTACTAAATAAAAAATCATTTTGAGAGGGCTATTAAAATAATATATAAAAAATAAAAAATTTCAAAAATGTTGGGGAGGCCACAACCTCATAAATATACTACTCTCCGAGGCCATCAAAAAAATATAATAAATAAAAATGTTCAAAATTTTTCCAAAAGTATATGACCCTCCACCACTAATGCCTTTCACTTTTAGTTTCAAACTCTTGGTAAAACAAAGTAAGCAAAAGGCCAAAGCACCTTTCTTATATAATCATATATGAAATATCTAAAAATTACAAAGCAGATGAAGGAAAGAGGGTTCTTGACTTGTTTTTTCTTGTATGCTACCAACCACATTTGGGTACTTTGATAAACAAAAAAGCAAAATAACACTAGTATTGGAAGAAACAGTGACAAAGAAAAAAGGAAAAGAAAACATTATATACGAAGGGATTCTTATGATAGAGAGAGGTGTGTTGCAAATAGGTGAAAAAAATGTGTTAAAGATGACTAAGAGGAAGACTAGAGCAATACTTAAAGTATTGAATGTTGTGACAGACGAGAAAGAATAGGTAAGGGACAAAGTAACATAATAAAGTTGAGAATGGGGTAGAGAATGTGCAAAGAATAGGTATGCAAAGAGTGTTAAATAAACGGTAATTTGAAAGATAATATTTAGAGAGTGTGAAGTCAATTTGCCTCAGCCTCAGAAATCTTGTTTTAGTAAAACTTTATATATAAAGCAAGAAGAAACAGCTACTTAAACAAAGACTTTAATGCACAAAATGAGTAATAGTATAAAAAAAACTTTAATATAGGACATAATAGGTAGCAGTTACTGAAAATTGTTTTAATGTAAATAATGGGTAATAGTTATTAGAACCTCGTTTTGTGGCCATTTCAATTTTTCTAACAAATGGCTATTAATAGTGTAATGAGACTTGTTCTTGAGTAAAAAGGAAGAGGTAAAAGATAAAAGGAAAACATTTGTACTTCAAGAAAAGATTAAGAAGAAAACCTCTTAACTATCTTTATATCCGAGCCACCAAATCAAGCTCTCTAAACGTCCCAAAAGTGAAACTAATCCCTGAACCCTGTCACATATTTCGAATCACTTTCACTATTATTCACGTGATATAGTTGTTCTATTTGTTTTGGCTGCTCCCATTGCTCTTTATATAGCATTACTATAAAACAACTCTTAGAGAAATAATAAGTTAATAATCAAAAGCAAGGATCTACATTATACCTCTAACATGAGAATTCTCGGTGAAAGAGGTTCTCACAAATTGCCACTGAGACAAAATAAAAAGATAATTTAGAATATAAAAATAAAGTAATTTCATTTCATTTCTATGAACATGTCTGGGTGAGACTTATTTTGAGAGGCATGTATCGGGCCTTAAGGAGTAGTAATTGCTCTATGCATATTGATTATGCTTGTTTCACCATCACTATTAGAGGAGAAAAATTGTTTCGCTAGCAAAATAATTTTATAATAATTAAAGAAATTAGCTAAAGTTAATGCACTATCTTGTGATTAATGGTATTAAATTCCTACAATAGTTCAAAATATTATTTTAGTTTTTTTTTATTTCTTGATTTTGCCTTCTACATAGAATTCCTTGCAAAAGGGTTTTCATGCATTTATAATAAAGAAAAAATATGCAATACTCATGAAATATATTAAATGATTTCCAATGTTACTCATGGAGTGATTACGTTATGCGGTTTTGTTCCTTACACATGTTGCAAGAATTATTCTGTCTGTGCGCGTAAAGCAATTGCTTGCCCATGGTAAGTGGTACATAGGTTGCTTGCATGAAACAAGCTGGCACTTGACAAACATCAAGCTTGTGCGTGACAAGTGACAAATGGCAAGCATAAATCAAGCTTGTGCATAAAAAGCATCAATCTTGCATGTGGAAAGTCAAAAGCTTGTGTGCGAAAAGTCACGAGCAACAAGCCGTAATGTTGCCTGTGACAAGCTTCAAGTTTGTGCGTCACTGATGACCAACGTAAGCTTGCACACAGCTAACAATTACCTACAAGCTTGCATGTGGCTACTAGCAAGCGACAAGATATTATGTTGTGACAATCATTAGAAAATACTTATAAAAGATGCTTTACATCTCCATAAAAATAAATTTGTTCAAGAAAGACTTGAGAAGATGTTCATCATGAATGTTGTTACCCCCTACGTGGAAAAAAATTTCTTTTATCAAAAGATTTATAAATTTTCTATGCATCAAGGTGGTGTAGTAAAAAAATAGGAAGAAAAAAAGTGAAGAACAATTTTATAGTCCACTTTCATGGTTTTCATTTTTGTGACAACATGTAGACAATTTGGAGTGTATTTGCAAGCACATGCACTTTTCAAAGTGTAGATTTCTTCTCTATTGTGTTGGAAATCTTAAGTAAGGCTTTGGCAATTGTAGATATTTCATGGATAAGTAAGTATTTCTCTAGAAGAATTG